ACACACACATATACATACATACATACATACATACATACATACATACATACATACATACATACATACATACATACATACATATATACTTATATACTTATATGGTATGGCGTATTTACTATCTGATTATACACACATGTGTACGCGTGCGCGTAATACACATACACATTGTTAAACATTATAAGTAATAAAGAGAAAAATAATAAAATGACAAAAGAAAAAAGATAACAATAAAAAGAAACAAAGCCATAATTATAACACGTCATTAATAGAAAAACTGAACAGATTTGCGAAAAGACTCGTAATTAGAAATACATACTATTTGATTAATATTTTTTCTGATCCATAGGAAATGAAATTCTTATTGCTAGAGCAAAAATATTTAGAATATTTAGAAGAAGGCATGGTATTTGAGGCATTACATGTACTTCGCAATGAGCTTACACCCTTGGGCCATAATACCGGTCGTGTTCATCAATTATCGTTATTTATGATGTGCAGTGGACGAGATGAATTACAGGTATTCCATATATTTGCCTTGAATAATAAATACAAATTATACACAGCATTTTAATAAATTATATGTGTTTTGCACTAATTAGTAGTTTCTACAAAAATTGAAGTTTTCACATTTTTAAGTTATAATTGAAACTAACTTACAACTGAAAATTTGATCACTAGCAAATGGACACTTGTTGACAGACACGTGCAGGCTGGGATGGCAAAGGGCCAGCCTCCAGGGCTGCGCTTATGGATAGACTGCAAAGATTTCTACCACCTTCCATCATGTTACCACCACGCAGACTTCATTCTTTACTATGTCAAGCTGTGGAAATGCAAAATCAACTGTGCACGTACCATATAACACATACACAGGTATAGCCATATTACAATTTGAATTATAAATGCATTATCTTACAATATTATTTTTTACTTTTATTTTTAACTTAACTAGCTAAATATACTTCCAATCTTTTATTTAATTTTTTTTGTAGTATTATTTTATGTTAATTATTCTAATAAAATATTAAACATTTTTAATAAATTTACTAAATAAATATAATAATATATTTTTCAAGAGTTAATATTGCTCATAATATTAAATACTATTAAATAATTAATAATAATAAAATTGATAAATTTTAATATATTAAATAGAAAAAACTAAATTGATTATTTCTAAAAAATTATATCTTTATTAAAAGTAACATTTATATTTCTAAAATTTCAAAATCTTACTATTTAATTTTAAAATAATATATATAAAAATTTATTAATGATAATAACAGGCAAAATTTTTTATTTAAAATGTTATAATTAAAAGGAAATTTTAACATTTTATAACAATATAGCAATGTAACAATATAAGAATATAACAATTTTTAATTATATTTTTATTTTAAGAAACACTAATATCTCAACACTAAGTTCACAAGAATAACAATTATCCAATGATTATTTTAATGAATTATTCT